TTATTTTATTATTGTTAGTGAGCCAGACTATGAGCCTAGAGTGGATAATTCATTCTGTTATTTTACAAAGTATGCTGGTAAGAGCAATTGGCCGATAGTTCTTGCATTCCTCAGCATCTTTGTTTGGTTTCAGTATTGGCACTATAATTGATATCTTCCAATTCTTTGGTAGTTTACCAGTTTGCCATGAAATGTTCAGTATTCGTAGGAGTTGATTTTTAGCTTCGTCTCCAAAGTGTTTAATCATTTGACCAAAGATTAGAGCATCTCCAGGTGACATCTTGGATTTAACTTTCCTATTGATAAATTTAGCTCATTCAGTGTGAAGTCTCTCGAGTAAATATCTTGTTGATGGTAATTTCTTGCTTGTTTAACTAACTTGTTTATATTATTTTTTAGAGTCCTGCCTCCATTCGTATAGCTGAGTCTGGAAGTGCTTGAAAGATATTCAGCAATTATGTCAGCCATCTGTTTGTTCGTTCTCGCTGTTCATATCGGTTAGAGTATTAGAGGATTAGTGTTGGTTTTGATTGTTTTATAACACTAATTATATTTCAGTGATGGCTTTCCTTTTTTGGATCCATTTTTTCGCAGAATTCTGCCCATTTTTCTTGTTTGAATATCCAAATTTCTTGTTCTATTTTGTGACTAATTTCAATGAGTTCCTTTATGATTTATTCTGTTTTATTTGTTTTAAGAAGTTCATTTTTATTGTCTCTCTCTGTAATCATTGCCTCGATATTGTGGTCCTTTCAGTAAAGTATTCACAGATCTTTACGTCTACCTCTAGGTATCGATACTTTTGCAGCTTTGGATATGTTCAAAGATAAATTTTAAAATTTTTGTCAATCGTTCTGTGAATTAATTCTTCGATGCACAGTTCTTCAAGCTTTTCTGTAATTATTTTCCCAGTGTTCTTCTATTCTGTTGGAAATTCTCAATTTTGAATTTTAGGGTTGTTAAAATTGGTCTGTGGTCACTGATTGCACTTTTCAGAATTTTCCATTGTGTTGTGGGTGCGATGTTGTAATTTATCGCTGTGATGTCTATTGCGGATTCTGTGCCTGTGGACTTGGATAGATAGGTGTTCCTTTCGTTATTTAACGGCGTAAGGTCGAAGTCGGTTAGCATATCCTCAACCTGCTGACCTTTGTTATCCTGGACAGGTGAGCCCCAAGTTGGTCTTTCGGCGTTAAAATCACCAATTATGATTGCGATATCCGAAGACGCTTCACTTAATGTCTATATCAGGCCTGTATTGATGCTAGTATTATCGTGATGATAAACATTTATGATAGGAATTGTTTTATCTAGATTTCTATTGCCTGAGCTTCTGTCGTGCCTTCTCTAGGCTCACTCTGATTATAGGCGATTTCCTTAAATTTGATTTCTAGAGTTTTAATCAAAACGGCAAGTCCTCCTCCGAATTTTCCCGGTCTGTCCATTCGTAGTGTTGTATAATCTTTGATATTGAATCTTAGATTCTGATTCAATTTTGTCTCCTGAAGACAATTAATATGTACAATGTCGCCACAGAGAAGACAAGTCAGCTCTTTATTTTCCTCTTGGTACCAGTAGTAGATTGAATTGTGTCCTCGTAATAGATTTCTCATCATGAGCTCGAGCTGCAGCTCCTGACGCAGCGGTTACCCCGGACGCGGTAGCATTACTGGAGATATCAGTTTTGCTCTTCATTTGAAAATGGGTGCCGTTGCAACGTTAGTCATGTTGGAAACGAACCAGAATTTGGTCAAATATTCCAAGGGTCCAGGGGGGACCGCAAGGAGATGTGGTCGAACATCTCCCCTTCCACTTGGAATGCCGTCACTACAGGATAAAGCACTCTTGGTGAATTTTTAAAATTGTGATTCAGAATCTGCCACTGAAGCTTTACGAGCGTTTCGTTCCTTTAAAGATATTCGAAGCGGTAAAGGACCAATGAGTTGCTACTCTCTAAAGCGATTGATTAAAGGTTTTTAGGAAGCTGGATCTCTGGAAGCAAAACCTCGGAGTGGAAGACCATCGACATGCAAGTCAGTGGCTGTTACGGTTTTGCAGAATGCTGAAGCTATTGAAACGTTATCCCTGTATGGAGAAGTAAGTGCTAGACAAGTTTCTCGACAAACGGGGATTTCGTATGGAACAGTTTGGAGAGAACACACATTTAGAATTTTTCTATAAAAATATCCTAACAAAATTCAAAGTTTTCACGAGTTGAAAGTCAGCGATTTTGAGAAGCGTCAAGAATTCGCTGCATGGGTTTTCCGGCAAATTGATATTGATGAAAACTGGCTGTCAAATGTTCTAAGAACAGATGATGCTCACTTTTATCTAAAGGGAGAATTTAACATTCAAAACTGCCTCATTTTGGCAACAGAAAACCCTAGGATTTTTACAGAAATACCACTTCATCAGCACAGAGTTACAGTTTTGTGTGGGTTCACTTCTTTTTTTATTATTGGGCCATTTTTCTTTGAAGAAATCAATGGAAGAACTTTTAAAACCGTTTTCGTAACTGGGGAACGTTATGTTCAACTTTTGAGAGAAAAGGTTATTCCCATATTGCAGGACAGACAAGCACTAAGCGAAATAACATTCATGCAAGATGGAGGACCTCCTCATATCTCCCGCGGTGCAAAACAATTGCTGAAGGATACGTTCGGTGGAATTCGTTGATAAGTCGCCACTTTATATACCAGTGGCCTCCAATATCATCAGACTTGACGTCTTACAATTTCGGTTATGGGGGTACATTAAGTCGAGTTTTTATCGATTTCGGCCTACCACATTGGCCATGTTGAAGGCTTCCATCAGATGGCACGTTTTATAAATTTCAACTATTTAATTGTGACCATTCTGTTATCTATCGCCTGCAGGCGGTGTTTGAGAATATAGGGCGCCACATTGAGCAAGGATTGTGACCTAATACAAGAGAGAAGGCAGTTACCTCATGTGTTATATTTTGCAGCTCTTTGTTTTGGGTTATGGGGATAATAAATGCTGTCCTCACATCTTGACTCTTTTTTTCTGTGAACAGTAATTTTTTTGTTTGTCATTTGCCCACATTTTATATTATGTCGTGGAGGCCAAAGTGTTATAACTTCTCGAATAACACTGGTATACACAATTTTATCCCTTATGTTTAGTTTATCGCTTTTCGTTCATTAGAAGAAATAGCATAAGGAATAATCTCTCTATCCCCCCCCCAACTTTAGATATTTTGCGCAAAAAATAATACTAAATGATTTTACTACCACGTTTTTCAACGCAAAATGCCGATTTAAAAATGATTTTTTTTGAGGGGATACATTTTCAAAATTATGTACAGTATAATAAACAATGATAACATTTGACAAACCCATAGGATATTTGGAATAAAGTACGACAAATATATTTTGTCACTCCCCTCTATATTTCATTTTTGGAACATGACAAATATCCAGTTAAATAGTCAAGTGTCGACAATTAATCAAGAAACTATACATTCCTTATAGCCCGAAATCCTATTAGTAGTGCCATCATAATTTTTAGTACTATATTAACATTTCAAAAATCGTATATTGATATCAGTAGTTATTTTCAAACATTCAATTTATTTCACAAAACTCCATCTAAAATATAAATATTTTTTGATACATGTTTTAATTTGCAAATACCTTTTTTACATATCTCAGATTGTATTTAAAAATCGTCAACCAATTCTTCTAACTTTTGGCGAAATGGTGTTTTATTAATTTATCATTTGATATTATTAGGGTTCTTTCCTGGTATTCAAAAAGGAAAAATACGTGTCGTTCAGTTATATTTTTAAATTAATCAAACAATTTGCCTGCTGAATATCTGATTCTGGTAGAGCGCCATCTAGCGAATAAAGTTGTAACTAAAATCAATTTCGAATTTTTCATTATTTGCCATAAAAATCCCATTGCATCCTGAACACAATGGTGTTTACCGCATTGCTCTAGCGCAAATATTCGCGGAGTTATTAATTTTTAAAGTTGTGCGGGACTTTTGGATCACCCTGTATTAAGGTTCTACCTTGTTCATCTATGACATAGCTGCCTTGTATATAAAATATAATCCTTTTATTGTCTTCAACTATCTTGCTAACTGATAAAATATTTTCATTTAAATCTGGAACATGTAATACATCCTTTAGAATAAAGGGTTCATTATCATTATCCCTCAATTTTACACTTCCTGAAAATTGGGATTTTATGTAACTATATATTATCAGCAAGAATTATTTTTCTTTTATCATCTTGAGGTTCTTCCAGGTATTCAAAATGTGATGTCATATGGGTTGATGCCCCACTATTCAAAATCCAAAGTTGTTCCATATTTTTCCTTTCTTTCACTAGTTTTGCAAATTCACTTGCTTTTTCTTCTTTGACAATTGTTGCCTTTTGATACTTATTTGGTGTATTTGCTTTATATCCACTTGGTCCTGGTTGGGAGGTCTGTTTTACCATTGTCTTCCCATTGTTTTCTGGGTTGTGCCAGCATTCGTTGGCTTTATGTCCTTGTTTATGGCAGGTGAAACATTTGTACATTTTTTATGCCTTTGTTTCTCTATAATGTCTATATTTATTCTTATTATATACCTTGTAAGCTGAGGAATGTTCGTCTTTTTCTTTATCGCAGTAACTTTCTTGGTATAATTCGAATAGGCGTCGAATATTATCAATAGTTGGATTGTCCATACTGTCTATTCGCATGGCAATAATGTTATATTTTGAAGGTAATCTTTTAATAAGTGCAGTGGTGAATTCTTCTTAATCTATTTCAGCACCGATAATTCTTTCATTTTCAAGCATTTTTTCTGCTCTTAGAATGTATTCTTGCCATTTTTCTTCTTTCTTCATTTGTAGCCGTGATACTTCATTTCTAGCTTCAACGCTTTTTCTTTTTACGTTACCTTCATATCTTTTTTCAAAGATATCCAAATTTCCTTGGATGTGTTGCAGGTAAGAATAAGTGCGACCTGCGAATCATTCATTGCGCATGTAATAATACCTAGTGGACATGGCACCTGCCCGGTAAGCAGAAGGTTGTGGGTTCGATTCCCGCCCCTGGACACTTTTATTTTTCCTTTCGCCATTACTCTTCATATTTTCACCCTCTCATACTTCATTCAAAAAAGTTAGAAATAGTAAGTATTTCTCTTTGGAATAATTATTGATTTTTCATAGAAAAAGAAACTTATGCGGTGTAACTTTAAGTATTATTTATTAATAATACCTTTTGCTTGGGCGTCTTGTTGGATCCATTTCGCCTTTTCGGCTTCATCTTTTGGTGAATCTTGTACTAAAAAATGTGCTAAAGCTTTTCCTTCAAGCACAGAAAGGATTCTAAATTTCCAACTAGCAAAATTATTGCCATCAAGCTTCGGTATATTTAATTGCGACATATCCGCCATTTTTTTTATTTTTATAATTATTCTTCTATATCGCAGTTGAAGATGGTGCTGGGCCCATAGCCATTGTTGTTTTTTTGATGATTGACAGACTTCTCCTTTAAATGTATTATTTATTATACATACATTACAATGAGAAAACACAATAAATACAAAAGATAATAGTGGCTATATATATATATTCTTAATCAAGTTTTATTCGTCACTTTTTAACAACAACAACTCTTTTTTATATTAGGTTTTCATCATATCCAATCTCACAGAATATATATATATTTATAAAATCAAATATTCCAACAAGTTAAGATCAATGTACACCAATCGTGATGGCTTTTCAAAAATAATCAAAGCAACCAATAGCCCACGTATTCAAAGTCTGAGGGGACAAAAGACGAGTCCAGGAGATGAAGATCGCGGCAAGACCATCACAACAAAGACCATCACGTCAGGAGACGTCGTAAGTGGACTGTCAGAATCTACGCTAGAAGAATTTCCCGTAATACAGAAGTCCGAAGAGTGTCGACAGCAGGAAAAGATCCAGACTGATTGTGTAGCGGAGGAGGGCGAATGATCGCCTCCGACAACGGCTGTGCCACGAGTGTTTTGGACCAATCAAGCGGACGGTAAGAGAGTGCCCTCCAGGTGAGACACAGTGCGGAAATTCAACCCTTGGAATCCATTATGAAATACTCCATAAAAACAACAACGATCTTGTTGAGCTGCAGTGCGACAGCGTGGCTGACATCTGCAACGGTGTCAGACTGTCAGGGACTAAAGCGGCAATCCAACTGGACGGGACAGAGCTGGATGCTCCGTGGAAGTGCGACAAAGCTAGTTGGTCGAAGCACCCGGAAGTTAGAGCCGGCGACCCGACTGAACGGAATAGAGAATTGGACGCTCAGTGGAAGTCCGACGACAATGTCTGTGACGCGAAAGTAGCGCGCAATGTGTTAGCGCCGTCGTCTGCAATACAAGCAGAAAATATGTGCTACGAGTATGTGCCCATCACCTTCGTTACTTCGCCCGACAAAGTTCAGACTCAACCACCATCGCTAGAACAAGTTGTGCCGAAATTGAAACTATTGTGCGGTCTGACACCTTCAGCAATTTCGAGGATTGCATGATCCAGGGCAAGGACAGCATCGAGATGTCCAAGTCTAGAATTTATAGAAGAAATCTCCAGTTGCAAATAAATGCGAAACCGATAGAAGAAAGGAACTTTCCCGGGCACCTCTTGGAATCTAACAAGGTTGATTACGTGCCGTACGGCCCCGATATGGTAAATGTGGATCAGTTGGACGCATCTACTGTAAAGATCGACATCTACAGCCCTGTCGCGAGAATGAGAAGAAAGCCCGAGTTGGGATGTGGTTCTGCAAAGAAGGGTTGACGCTAATCCTGCCGCTACGCTTCCGGGAGGCTGACGAGCCTCATGTGAGGATACGTAAGGGAGATCAAAGGGCCGCCGATCAGCGCCACTGGTGAATTCGTCCCGAAAAGGATTGGGAAGGGGGCATTGTAACGTGGATGACAAGGCCAAGATACCAGAGTAAAGTTGGGGAAATAAGAGTGGACTCTAGCGGCCTCCGCTGCCATGTGGCAGGCGCCAAAAACAGAATTCCTGTGTGGGGGAGGAAAGAGTCTGATTAGATCTGCGGTGACAGGAGACGTGGCAAGTTGGCTACGGGAAGTGGGCTCCGGGAGTGTGGCTGAATGGACTAACCGGGAAGACGGAATTTTCGGTTCCCTTATCCATTTGAATTTATTCTTCGACCTTGTCTAACTATGAGGTCCTCTCCCATAATTCTTGCAAACCTGGCTCTGCAATAATGCGCTCTGTCTCCTGACTTGTTACACTTGAAACATATTCGTCTTCTGTCTTCTTTCCTATTCTTGTTTGCTTCAGGACTCTTATTGTAGGCTTTCCTCTGGTAGATCGGTTCTGGTTCAGAATTCGGAGTGTAAGGTCGTCTAGGGGCAGAGACATGGGACAGAGGCTTGTTCAAGTAGACCTCGGAGCGGGGGCCTGGGGCTTGTAATAGTCCCCCTGACAAATGTTACTATTACGGGTTATTACACAAAATTGGAATATACTAGGGCCCAAAGTAAATGTAACTTAATACACAGAAAAGCGTACACTCCAGAGTACAACACCAACAACAAGAATAAAGTAAATAAAACTCGCGATCGGTAAAATAAAAAAAAACAGTACTTATCTTTATTGCAGCGTTGGTATGGATCGGATCCCGGTCACACCGGGATGCAAAGAGATTCCCAGACACGGAAAAATCAAGTAGAAAAACACTTTAAGCGTGTCCATACCAATTGTTAGAAATATATAATTTATAATTGTATATTTTATAGATTTTCCCCTATTACTATTATTATTATATATTTTTTTTTATTTTATTTTTGTTACCTCTTTCTCCTAATGGGTGGAAAGGAATAAAGAATGGAAGGAGCAAAATTTGTAAGCAAACAAGACATCGACCCCCCCCCCCCCATCCCATGCGTGAGCACCTATGCGCGGTGACGGAGATGAAAAAGAAAAAGGAACAACCGGCAGCACTGGTGTATAGGCTCGGGGAAATATGAGCTCCCTGCCTCAGAAGGAATGAGTAGCCACGTTATCAAGAAACAAAGAAGATAAATAGAAAAGAGTCATTATAGAATTGCGCACCAATTAAGTGGGTAGCGATATTGTTTTCCTGTAGTGGAACTGAAGATATAATTAAATATATATTAAGATATAATTTCAAGTGAATAATTCATAATCTGATTGATCGAAAGAATTGAAAGATAAGTATTTATGAACTTTGAAAAATATTTGCCTTTCCAACCCTAATTACTTTTGCTGTCTATATTATTTGTTTATCTGTATATGTCATAATTTGTACATAGCTGTATGCAACCCCGACCCAATATGTATGCAATGTATGTTTCAAAGATTTAATAAAGAACAAGGTAACTGGAGGACAGAAAGGCCTAGAAGAAAGGCCTAGGAAGAAGGCTTAAGAGTTAGCACAATCATTAGTAAAGTTATTACCAGTTTAATTATCGCGGAACACATAAAAGTTCGAGTTCAACGACACAGTATTTCCTGGTCAAGCTGGAACATGTCTAAAGACAAAGACGTAACGTAGACCAATAGGGAACCTCCACGTCACACCTTTCAACCAATGAGATGTAAGAAGGGTTCTCGTGTTAAATCGAGAACCAAGAATTGTGAGTTAGGAACTCGATCGCACCGAGGTAACACCTGCTCTAGAGATCCCCCCCGTTCATCCTTTTCAGCTAAGTCAATCACCGCGATGTGAATAGCTAACCAATAGACAATCCGCTCCACCTTCTCAAAGCCTTTCTTTCCTCCGATCAGTTGCCTTTTATTCCAACCCCATCACGTGTCCTGGTTTATTTCCCCTGTATGCTCTTCACTTTCCTCTGAAACGACTGCGCTTTCAACAATCAAATCCATTCTCAACAAATAGTAAAAGACCTCGCAACGATATTGCGACAGATTTGAGTCGACAGGATTCTAATATGGAGAGTAACCAAGATGCGATCAAAAAGGGTGACAATGACCAACCGAGGGAACAGGAAATGGCAGGGAGCGGACAGGAAACGAGCCCTCTAGCGGACGTCATTCAGCAGTTCGCCGCCGCGTTATCTCAGGGTAGGTCATGCGATCCTACAGGACCGACACTCTCGCCTTTCGATGGAACATACAGCGCGACCCAGTTTTTCCAAGCGTTCGACCGGAAAATGGAAGACGCCTCCATGGAAGAAAAAGAAAAATTGCTCCGTCTACCGAACTACCTGGTGCGACAACCCCTGGAGCTTTTCAGGAAACTTCGGCTGGCCGACCGGAGCTATTTCCAGGTGAGACAAATCCTCTTAGATCTCTATCCTGAGTCAAGCGAAGCGTCCTTTGCGAAATATTTCGCCATGAAGCTTACTGGACAAGCCAACCTAGAGACCTACTACCGGGAGAAAACCGCCATGGGGCTGCAACTAGGACTCCCGCAGGAGGTGATCCTCGAGACGCTGACAGAAGGGTTGCCATTCTCCGACCAGCGCCTAGTCCGCGTAGTGGCTCCCGAGAACCTAGGAGAGTGGTTCCGACTGGTACAGCGGATCCACGGGCCCAGTGTACCGACAACGCGACACAGAGAGGACCAACCGCCCACAATGTCGGGTCCGTACCACAACACACCCCGACGCCCAGGTGCATGGAATGCACCTCTTCCGCCGTCCAACTGTAAGTTCTACGGCGCGAGGCACTGGCACAGCGAATGCCGGCATCGACCAGTCCCGGCGACCCACGAAAAAGAACGGACAGTGCAATCAGTCCCAAACCGATATCAAAGCGCCCGGACAGTGCAATCAGTCCCAAAGCAACCAGTCCCGAGTCCCCAGCAACCATCTCAAGCCAGAGACACCCCTGCCGAGCAGACTTTTCGAGACTGAGGTAGGCTCCCTAACCCAAATGACTGTAAAACTTTTCCTAGCCCCTAATATACCATGCCCCTTTTTCATTGACACAGGCGCCAGCCTGAATATAGTGCCCTACAACCTCTACAATATGTTAAAAACTCATCTGCCTAATTTAACCCTTAAGGAACATTCGCTGGATCTCCAAACCCTAGACAGTTTTGCAAAAACC